ACGCTTCCTTCAGAGGACCCGCTCTCCCTACTCGGGAGCGGCCAAGAGGGGGGTGTCCAAGAGAGGGGGGGTGCAAATCATGACCGGCGGCATGTGCGCGGCCCAGCGGGGGGGCCAGGGACGTAATGGAGCAAGAAGAGGCGCCATGAAATCAGGGGAAATATCATGGCCCCCGCCATGATATCCACCCCCCCCTAGTCATCACCCCCCTCTTTGCCGCTCCTGGCCCACGGCGAGGGAAGTCGAGGCCCGGGGCGCGGCCCGCCGGTGCCCTCGGAGGGTCGCCAGGCACTCCAGGCGCTCCAGGTCCTCGGCGGGGCCGCGCGCTCGGGCGCCAGAGGGGCGGGGCCTGCTGCTCCGCCGCCCCCCCCCCTGGGGAGGATCCTTGCCCCTGCGATTGACGAGCCAAGAAGGCGATGACAATCTCAAGGGTGCGCTCTTCAAAAACCGGGGAACGCTCAAGATCGGCATCGAGATTAGGTGATGCCAGTCATAGGGATGTGAAAATGTTCCGGGCCAGTTACAGGGGGACGGGAGTAAGGTGTTCGAGAACGTCAGCTGCTTCTTCGAGGTTTTCTACCCTCGGGATGTTTTCCAGCCGGTGCGTCGCGCCGAAAGCGTTCCAGGGGTGGCCCGAAAGCCGACCTCCTCACATCGCGGAAGGTCACGACGGAAGGTTGTTACCCATTTTCTGCCTCTGGGGGGCCTCTCTGGGCCCCAGGACCATCGAAAACAACCTGGGACGATAAAATCGGTCCCAGGGCAGGGGTCCAGCCCTCTGGGAGGCCCACGAACTTCAGAAAAACACGATGTCGGTCTCTGGGAAAAGGGAGGGAGGGAGGGGAGGAAAGGACGGAGGGACGTTTTTATCGAAGTACGATTGCCTGAAGGAACCCTAGCTCCATGCATAGAGAACTGGTCCACTGCCCCATCCCTCTATTTTGCCCCTACGCGCGTCCTCTGTTGCGCATGGCTTCCTCTGCCATGCACATGGCTAATGAGATTGCCCCCTACACGCGTCCTCTGTTACGCAAGGCTTCGTCGATTGCGCATGGCTGCCTCTGCAATCCGCATAGCTTACTCTGTCTCCACATGACTCTTGTATTCGGGACCACCCAAGCGCAAGGGTTCACATCGCCCCCATCACAAACGGTTCCGCCACTTAACGATAGCAGACTATGCACGAATAATCAATAGTGCGCACGCCGTCGCGAAGCGACTAGATTGTACAACATACTCAAGCGGCAACAGAAGTATCCAGACAATTCACTCATTGCTGGAGCTGCTCCATATGATTTGTATCCATATTCCGCGTTTCTTGAATATTGTCCCAGTGCGACCCTACCTAGGAGATGCAGCCCCTAGGAAAGCAGCATTAGTAGTAACAGTAAAGCTAAGCTAAAGCTAAGCTACAGCTAAGCTAAAGCTAAGCTAAAGCTAAGCTAAAGCGAAGCTAAAGCTAAGCTGAAGCTAAGCTAGAGCTAAGCTAAAGCTAACACTAAGCTAAAACTAAGCTAAAGCTAAGCTGAAGCTAATATAAAGCTAAGCTAAAGCTTAAGCTAAAGCTAAGCTAAAGCTAAGCTAAAGCTAAGCTAAAGCTAAGTTTGAGCTAAGCGAAAGCTAAGCTGAAGCTAAGCTTAAGCTAAGTTAAGGTTAAGCTAAAGCTAAGCTGCAGCTAAGCCAAAGCTAAGCTGAAGCTAAGCTAATGCTAAGCTAATGCTAAGCTAAAGCTAAGCTGAAGCTAAGCTGAAGCTAAGCTAAAGCTAAGCTAAAGCTAAGCTAAAGCTAAGCTAAAGCTAAGCTAAAGCTAAAGCTAAGCTAAAGCTAAGCTAAAGCTAAGCTAAAACTAAGCTAACAATAAGCTAAAGCTAAGATAACACTAAGCTGAGGCTAATCTAAAAGCTAAGCTAAAACTAAGCTCAAGCTAAGCTAACACTAAGCTAAAGCTAAGCTAAGGCTAAGCTACAGCTAAGCTCAAGCTAAGCTGAAGCTAGGCTAAGGCTAAGCTAACACTAAGCTAAAGCTAAGCTAAAGCTAAGCTAAAGCTAAGCTGCGGCCAAGATAAAGCTAAGCTAAAGCTAAGCTAAAGCTAAGCTAAAGCTAAAGCTAGAGCTAGGCTGAAGCTAAGCTAAAGCTAAGCTAAAGCTAAGCTAAAGCTAAGCTAAGGCTGAGCTGAAGCTACGCTGAAGCTAAGCTAAAGCTAAACTGAAGCTAAGCTAAAGCTAAGCTAAAGCTAAGCTAACACTAAGCTAAAGCTAAGCTAAAGCTAAGCTAAAGCTAAGCTGAATCTAAGCTAAAGCTGAGCTAAATCTAAGCTAAATCTAAGCTAAAGCTAAGCTAAAGCTAAGCTAAAGCTAAGCTTAAGCTAAAGCTAAGCTAAAGCTAAGCTAACACTAAGCTAAAGCTAAGCTAACACTAAGCTGAAGCTAAGCTAAAGCTAAGCTAAAGCTAAGCTAAAGCTAAGCTAAAGCTAAGCTGAAGCTAAGCTGAAGCTAAGCTGAAGCTAAGCTAAAGCTAAGCTAACGCTAAACTAACACTAAGCTAAAGCTAAGCTAAAGCTAAAGATAAGCTAAAGCTAAAGCTAAGGCTAAAGCTCCCAGGGGACTGGGGGAACCGCGGGGCGGGGACTGGGGGAACCGCCCGGGGCGGTTGGCATTGCCCAGCCCCTTCTAGCTAACAGGGTAAGAACCCTTCTAGGCGGAGCCTAGGTAGGGAATGAAACCATAATTCGTCATTTCTTCTCACCCTTCTCAATAATATAACTGGTCATATTTCTCTTCTTATTAATAATAGCCGTATGTTCCCAGTGCGACCCTACCTAGGAGTTGGAGCCCCTAGGAAAGCAGCATTAGTAGTAACAGTAAAGCTAAGCTAAAGCTAAGCTAAAGCTGAGCTAAGGCTAAGCTAAAGCTAAGCTAAGGCTAAGCAAAAGCTAAGCTGCAGCTGAGCTAAAGCTAAGCTAAAGCTAAGCTGAAGCTACGCTAAAGCTAAGCTAACGCTAAGCTGATGCTAAGCTAAAGCTAAGCTGAAGCTAAGCTAAAGCTAAGCTGAAGCTAAGGTAGAGCTAAGCTAAAGCTAATGTATAGCTAAACTAAAGCTGAGCTAAAGCTAAGGCCGAGCCAAGCTAAAGCTAAGCCAAAGCTAAGCTGAAACTAAGCTAAAGCTAAGCTAAAGCTAAGCTGAAGCTAAGATACAGCTAAGCTAAAGCTAAGCTAAAGCTAAGCTAAAGCTAAGCTGTAGCTAAGCTGAAGCTAAGCTACAGCTAAGCTACAGCTAAGCTAAAGCTAAAGCTAAAGCTAAAGCTAAAGCTCCCAGGGGCCTGGGGGAACCGCCCGGGGCGAGGACCACTGCCCAGCCCGTTAAGCAAACCGAGTAAGAACCCTTTTAGGCAGAGCCTAGGTAGGGAATGAAAAACTATTGGTACGGTCACAGTAAGTCCTCATTTCGTTAGCAGTAACATGTGTACTAGTAGTACTAGTAATGATGCTCTTAAAAATATGGTATTTGCATGATTGGTACTGGTATGATTAACATGACCCATATGAGTGTTCATATTATTCCCACTCGCATCATTATCACTATTCGGGCGCAGCCCGTCCAGGTTGTGGCGCGCAGCGCGCCTCCTGACTCGGTCCGCCTTGATCGGGACCTCTGGTCAACCTGGGCAAGCCCGACCGAGGCCAACGGTCCGCCGCCTGGCGTAGGCTCCGCATGAGGTGCAGACCACGCAGCCGCACGCCTCCTGCACGGCGTGGAGCCTCTCCCCCGCGGCCGCTGCTCCCGCCTGGGCCGTCGCCGCAGGCGGCGCCCTCGGCCTGCCAGCTGGCTCTGGCCGACCCTCGCTGGGGGCGGCCCTCTTCCTCGGCTGGCTCCAGCTCCTCGGCCATGCTGGGCCCGCCTTCCCCGTCACCGACGTCGGCACCACTCTCACGGACGGGCCGTCCTCGCCACCGGTGGCGTTGCCCCCTCGTGAGGCCACGCGGCCCTCTCCTCCTGGGGGGTCCCGCGCGCGGCTCGGCGGCTGCGGGCATCCTGCGCACCCGCTTGGCCTTCGGCCCCACGGCATTCCCCTGTCGACCTCCGCGGGCCTTGCCTGGGCCTGAGCCCGCCCGCCTCCTCCAGGGTCTGGCGGCACCGCCAGCCTCGCCCGTCGCCGAGGCCGCAGCAGCAGTCGCCACCGCGACACCCGCAGCCAAGATGGTGCGGGTCTGCGCAGGGCTGGCCGACGCTGGATTCTCGTCTGGGTCGACGTCGGGCCCCCTGCGCTGTCCGCTCTCCCGCTCGCAGCTCGCGCCGACCTGGTTCGTGACCGCCCGCAGGAGGGACGCGATTCGGCAACGCGCAGAGGGGGGTAGGGGAGGGGGGAAGGCTTCTTAGAAGCACCCCTGCTTCTTAGAAGGCGCGGGCCTTCTCTATAGACGTAAGGCCGAGGTCTTCTAAGAAGCAGGGTGCTTCTACGAAGCCTTCCCCTCTCCCCCTACCCCCTTTTGCGCGCCGCCAAGCGATTTTCGATTCTCCCTCTCTCCTCACCGACGCTGCTGGCCCTCAGCCTCTCGACGGCTCCGCAGGCGCCGCGTAGAGATTAGAGCAGGGCAGAGCACAGCAGAGAAGAGAAGAGTGGATGAGTGGAGTACCGCAGGGGAGAGGGCAGGAGAGTAAAGCAGAGCCGAATATAGAGAAGAGTAGAGAAGACTGGATAGAGTTGATGGGGTTGAGTAGGAGTGGGGTGGGGCAGAGAAGAAGTGGGGGAGAGGATGGGAGAGGAGAGTAGGGTAGAGTAGAGAAGAGAAGAGAAGAGTAGGGTAAATGGTAGGGTAGAGGCGAGTAAAGTATAGTATGATAGAGCAGAACAGACTATAGTGGAGTGGGTAGGGGAAAGCAGAGTAGAGGAGAAGAGAGTACAGTAAAGGAGAGTCGAGTATGATAGGGTGGAATAGGGCAGTAGTACAGTAGGAGTAGAAGAGAGTAGCGTAGAGGGCGGCACAGGAGTCTAGAGTAGATTTGGGTTGGGTTGGGCAGGGTAGAGTAGAGTAGGGTCGTGTATGGGGGGTAGAACAAGAGTAGCATAGAGTCGGGCATATCGACAAGAGGAGTCGGGTAGGGTTGAGTAGAGTAGAACAGAGCAGAGCAGAGTAACGTATAGCAGAGTAGAGAAGTAGAGGGGAGGGGCGAGGAGAAGAGAGTAGAGTAGAGCATAGTCGGAGGTTGGGGGGTGAGTCCGACGTGAAACGGAGACGCCCCCTACCGGGAAATCGATTTCGGTTTCGTGTTCGTGTCGTGCGTGCCGTGCGTGCGTGCGGGCGAGGCGA